GGACTGAAAGAGCAGTGACTCAAATCCACAGGACTTTCTGGGGTGACAGAAAGAGTCTTATGAATAAGAATGTGTGCTTCCTAACGTATACAATCACATTCTAATAGGAAAGTGCTAGTACACAAGCCAGCGAGACTGCCTGAGCCAGCAAAGAGCCTTCAGTGGATTGTCATATCGCCAGGGGCCAGTAGTATCAATTCCCCAAGGAGTGAGACCGTCCTTCCCCACCAAGTTCCATTCTCCTTCCAAATAAGCATGTGGCATGATATAAAACATGTATGCTAGGCCAGGTGGAGCCTAGATGGTTGGGTCACTCTGGGCCATTTATGCCAGTCCTCACCCTTAGCCTGACACCCTTCAAGATGGTAATTTTGAAGCAGCTTCTGCTGCCCCAGAAGTTGGCAGGTGTGGGGGGTGTCTAGGAAGACAATGGCTGGTCTTCCCTGGGTCCCTCTTTAGCATTTTTGCTTGTTTATTCACATGCTTTCTCACTCAGGGGTGTTCTCTTCCAACCCCTTCCAAACTCCCCACCCTTGAACCCTGACCCTTTACACACCCCTTCTAAGAAAGGGTCTTTCTGAGTCAGCTCCTGCCTAACCATGGCCACCTGGGCAGTCCAGCCTGCAGGATCACTCAAGAAGAGCTGCAAAGGCAGCTTGAGCATCCTGGACTCCTAAGATTTTCTCAGATATGCAAATATCAGTCCTTCCCAAGACCTCAGAATCTGCTTTGAAGGAGATTCCCAGGTAATTTCCTGTAGACACAGGAAACATCTGCAAGCACTGCCCTCGAGTTTCCTCCATCCCCACTCTCCCCCCTGCCAATGAGTAGTGTGGATGGTGGCCCCCAAAGCGTCAGGGACACACTCAGAACACACTGTGGGTCAAAGGCCTTAGCCTTTGACTACGTTAAAGCTTAGCTATGTTACAGCACCGGCCAGACTAGTTCTACTCCACTCTGACCTCTTCTCTCCAGATAAACAAATCCGAAATCTTGTGCTAGAGAACAAGAAGCAGAAAGTGGGAGCATCTAGCATGGGGCAGTGACACTCAGAGTCCTTTCATGGAACCTCTCTGTAACAACCCCATGAACATCCCCCTTTCTGCCCTTACCATGCCAAGCTGTGGCCAGCAGCAGGATCAACGGAGCCCCCAACTCCATAGTCTCCCCGGGGCAGCGTGGGCTGATGCAGGTTGGAGGGTCGGCTGAGCACAGGCCTCCCAGCTGCTAGTTCTATGAGGACAAGGACAGCTAGCTGAACACACTCTTGTCTGCTGCCCTGGCTGTCGTCACTCTTGTTTTCCTCTTCCTCCTCCTCGTTGGCCTGCTCCTCTTCCCCTTTTTTTAAGAAGCTGGGCTGAAAGGGAACTACAGAGTTTGGAAATATTAGGTCTCTAGAAGAAAACAAAGCATCATCTGCAGAGGCAGAATGAGACAGAATCTGCAGCTGGGCTGGACAGATCCTACAGGGAATGTTAAAAGTTTGAGGGATTTAAGAAACCACCTCTAATGCTCAAGAGCAGCAGCCAGTAGCACAAGTAGAAATCAGTAGCACAAGTAGAAATCTCTCAGATGACCAGTGAGACTGCCTGAGACACATTAGGTTGATTGGCCCTAAATTCTTCTGACCTTTCTCATCTGCCTTCCAGGTTGAAGGCATCAAGATAAGGGTAACTAAGGAATTGGGGTTTGATGGTATCCATCTCTGCAGAAGCAACTGGAAGCTTCCATTAATTGTCCTAAACCAAAGTCATCCTGGGTTCTAGAAATAGCAAGCCTTGCAGCCAGATCACCCCATGATGAGATTGTGTCCCACCACTTAGTGCGAGTGCTAACCCCATGAGAAGAAATGAGGTTACTCCTAAGTAGGAACCAAATTGCCCTCTCAAGCTGTGGAAGCCAGGAATGACTCCTTGGGAGCCGACCTGGTAGAACAAAAACAGAGACATCATGGATCTGACAGCACTATGCCACTAGCAGGACCTCTTGCCCCCTGCACCAGGTCTTCTTGTGTTTAAACCTGGACTCTTCCCCAGAGGACAGGCCCACAAATGCTCAAATTCCTTTACTACCTTTAGCCATCACTGGTCCTATTTGATTTCTAGGGCAAGTGGTCAGGCCCTGGTTTGTTGAAATTTGTCCTGGTTACCTAGTGTTGTAAACAAACAAAACAAAACAAAACAAAACAAAGCAGCTCAAGAGAAAAAGACGCCATGCAACAGAGTTCAAGCAGAGGGGGCTTTTGTTAAGGGAAAGGGATCATAAAAAGGGGGAAAGGGAGAGGGGAGACTGGCCTCTGGGGACAGGAGCAGTGGGAAAGAGGAAAGAGAGGAGGGGGATAGGAGAGGGGGATAGACAGAGGGAGAGAAAGAGAGGGATGAGAGGTGGGCAGGACCCTTTTAAAAGGGAACATATTGAATAGACACAGGTGGTGCTCTTAGGGGCAGCAGATGAGGGCATATCTTGTCAGAACGCCAAAGACAGGCCAGTACAGATGCCGGAACACTAACATTCCTCCCTTTTTATTTATTATAAAAAGATGAGGAGTTAGAAAGGGGTAGCAGGTGAGGCAGGGATGAGAATGCCATGTTCTCAAGACTACTTCCTGCTGACCTACAGGGCATCATTCATCTTTGGGGGACCTGAGAAAGCTGGGGTGCTAGCCACATCATTGAGTATCTGGCTGCTTCACTTCACTGTCCAGGCTCTGTGGACACTCCTCACTTTTTAAAGACCATCAGTTTGTGTGTTTTTAGTTTATTCTTTTACAGTTTCCATCTTATCTCTGAGTAATATGGTTATAAACTTGTATCTTGAAACTGAAAATAATCTCAATATAACATTGACCCAAGAAAATGATCATTGTTCCTTTATAATTAGATGTGTATTTATAAGCTGTATACTTTTTCCAGGAAAATATTAGCCAAAAAATTTGCAAGAAAATAAAAATACAACTTGAGTGTTGAGGCTTATGCCTATGATGCCAAAGCAGCAGGATTGTCACAATTGCAGTGCCAGCCTGGGCTACATAATGAGACCCTATCTCAAAAAAGAAAAAGAAAAAAAGAGCCAAGAGGAAGAGGGAAAGGGGGGAATGCAAATTTATATATGCAGTGTGTATGCAGAATATAGATGCAAAAATCATCAAGAAAATACTAACAAATCAAATCCTATAACAAATACTTGTAGTTCAATGCCAAGTATATACCACACAAACCATGCCATGGCTAAGTGGAATTTGTACCAAAATACAGAGCTCACTCAGAATCCGGATACTCAGTGTAGTGTACCACGTTGATGGAGCGAACATACAATCCCACATGCGCATCTCCAGGGGTGCAGAAAAAGAATCCTTGACAAAATCCAATGTG